TTTCGATTTTGTAGGCCTGCCAATAAAAATTTGCTGAGCATTAATCCCGTTAACTTTGTTCACAATATTATCTATTTTAAAACTTTCAAAATCAGATGTATGAAACTGTTTCAACCAAATGATATAAACTTTAACTGCTAGGTAAAGAGATGGCAAAATCCTACAAAAGACATTCTATCTAGTAGAACCTAATATGAAACTCAATTGATGACTGAAATACTTATTCTTTTTAAGTCCTTAAAAAAGATAACTCCACCTTAATCTAGGTTAATGTACAATATTGATGAATAATCAATTAATGATATAAAGAATGCGCTTAAGGGGACAGGCAAAATGAAAAAATGTTAGATAATCCAGATATTAGAGCAACTGAGGTGAAATCTTTTGACTGGCGAAAGTATCAGCTCTGTAAAAGAGGCCTTTTTCTCAGACAATCTGTGTCGAAGTTGCAGACAGAATTGAAAGCAATCCATTGCTCCATAAACTCGTGAGAGCCTTGTAGAGGATGCAGAGCCCAATAGCGTTGCTTGAAATACTTGCAATTAAATGTGTTACGAGTTAGCTAGCTGAGAAACGGCCACGTGAGAACAGGCGCTTTCCCCATAAAATAACAGTTATCCTTAAGCAAACTTCAAATCTTTCATTAACTCATGTCTCACTCAATTTTTGACATATTTACTTGATTTTGCATACACGTTTTTTTTATAAAAAACAGGTTTATAAGAAACCTAGTACTAGAGCCCTAAAAGTTTAAGAAACTTTTAGAACTAAATCAATATTTTTAAGAAACTCCGAAAAAAAATTAGACGACTTTCTGAAAAATCAATTTTTGCTTGATTTAAATTTTCTAACACATTCTTATTTAGGGTAACACAGGTTTTCGAGTCTACTTGTAGGTGGGTTTCCGATAACTTTGCCATGAAATACTTTTACAAAATTGTTTTCAGTATCAGTTTTTTAGTCAGTGTTCAGCAAGCAGTCCTCGTGTTTCTCATACAGCTTTACTTCACGGCAAATAGAAAAACGCAAGCAACGTTGTTCAATTTCGTGTATTCAAGACGAGCATCTCACCGAAGAAAGTCCTATGATTTAGCTGCCCCGTTACAAGGTCTTTCGTTCGCTGAAGATGAGAATGTCAGTTTGTATCGAGCTTTAGGCTGGATTGAAAATGCATGAAACTTGAAATCAAATCTTACTGTTGTGTTATAAATTTTAATACAATTGATAAGAGAGGGAAAATGCAAAATTTGATTTTAAATGTTTATCTAAAAATAAGAAACTTTTAAGAAACTTTTAGTACTAGAAACCAGGGACGTAAATTGGAAGATATTTGGGGGGGAAGGGCTCAAAATTTCCGACTGACAAAGGTCAATTCTAATTTTGTATGAGGGCCTGAACTTTAATAGTTTGTTACCAACAAAACCCTATAAATTTTCTCATAAATAATTATTCAGCTGTATAATAAAGTTTCTAGATTTCGTAAATTTGGATGATCGAGCATAAAGACTGTTAGTTTAATTAGTGCATCAGAACATGCGTAGTCCATTGCTCCACTATCTTATCTAAATGTACGTTGTCCAAAATGTCTTCCTCGCAAGTAAGAATCATGAGGTCGTTTAGTCTTTCACAGGGGCGGCGCCAAGAAATTCAAAGTGGGGGGGGGGGGGC